TCAAAGGTCTACACATCCAGTGATTCTGAGAGAATTCCAACAATTTACTCTATGAAATCTGCCTAATTTTTCGTGATAAAGAAGTTATGGTTACATCACCTTAAAATCTTATGATTAATGAACAAATGATCAAAAGACGGTCGGGGGACGTGACTTCTGCTGGGGAGCTTGGTGAAACCAAACACCAAGTAACTGCTTCCTAACTTTAGCCGTAACGGGACTCGAACACTCACTCAACAGATTGGAGCCAGCACACCCAAACCACTGAGCCAGAATTCATGTTTGAATTTTGAACGGTGAAGTTCAATACTAATTTGTATATTAGAGTTGATATAGTATAGTATACACACTAGGTAAAACTGAGAAGTCACTACGTCTATTCACATTAATATAGACAAACTTTCAACTGGGCACCGCTGGTAACATTAAAATGGAGCAATTGAAACCCGTCGCTCATGGCCATTGAGGAACATCATGACAGTTCATCAGAGATTGTTTCAGCCGGCCCAGTCGGCGAAAAATGGACAGAAATCGCTGATAATAACGATCCAGAACCACGCTGTATAGACAAGAAAAAAAGCCAAATTTAACTGATGAGCAACGAAGAGCTGTTTACGAATTCTTGCAAACAAAACAAAAAGACCCAGAGCGATCTTTCAAGCTTGTGAAAGGCGCTTTAAGCGTTACAGCAAGCCAAAGCCTTGATTTCTACTTAATAAACATTCAACCTTGACATATCCGGGTTTTACTCTGAGACAAAGATTAAGTGCGTTCACGGGTTTTATTTTGAGACAGAGGGAGTATGTAGTTGATTGTGCGGACGCAACTTATAATATGCATCACTCTAGTCTTGTGTACTTTACCCCCCAACACAATTCGAGTGTGTACGTAGCACTTGATCACTTTAATTTATTGTGATTAACGCTTTATCTTTATTTATCTTTCAAGCCGACAGGGATCTACATAATAAATCTAGTCATTAACTCTTTCAATTCTGCCTTGCGGTTATCACAATTTTTCACAAAATCGTCATCGTCTGTATGGCTTTGGTGATTTCCTCAAAGTAACGTTGCTTTTGGTCGTTATACCGTAATTTTTTTTGCTGAGTCTTCCGTTAAGAGTTTTGAAAAAGAGAGAATAAAAAAAATGCCCCAACTTTTGCCATATATATAAAAAAATATCCCTACTTTTCAAAAAATAAAAAGAAAATCCCAGCACGTAAATTATCACCGGGAAGCCGTAACATTAG